CAACGCTTCTGTCACGCTTTTTGTATTAAAAATACATAATAAGATTTAAATATATGGGCTCATTGAGTCTTTGCCACAAACTCTGATTTTCTATGCCATGTATATTTGTGACTACTTACCAGATGCCACAAACCTTAAATATTGCCATGAATTCAGCTAGATCAAATAATCTAAGTTTGAAATATTAAAGGTTTACACATCATGTTGTCAAGATATAGGGATTAGAAAATATTAATTCCACTGATCTCTCCGATATCTGCATGAACTGACTAAATCTCCGATATCTGCATGAACTGACTAAATCTCCGATATCTGCATGAACTGACTAAATCTCCGATATCTGCATTAACTGACTAAATCTCAAAATGAGAAATGCTTTGTAAAGCAAAACAAAAATCCTGGGATTGTCCAATTTATTTCAATTTTCAGATAATCATTATTTTGCATTTTCATTTGATTCGTTCCTCACATTTTTAAGTAAAGAAAAAAACGTGAAAATGTTATGACTGTCAAACCAATGGAAATTTGAAAAAAATATCATATTTGCAGCCTCTTGGTATAAGCCTTTGATATTTACTTTGACTATTTTATATAATTTAATTATTTAAATTTTAAATATCAAAGGTTAGTAACATTTGGTTGCAAAGATGACAAATTTAGAGTTTGATGGAAGTAATCAGTTTGTCTAAACGCAACTTGGTAAAAATAAGATTATAAAAATTATGCCAGGTTTGATTTGAATTAAACATATCTACAAATATTCCCTAGAAGCATCTTTGGTTATAAATTGGGCCGCCATTGTTTTATAATTAAAAATATCAACAAACATATTTGGTATAGGTTATTGCAAAGATATATATCTATTTGTTTATACAGGGTTATCCACAAAACATTTGACTGCTAAGACGAGCCTGCAAACTTTATTAAGTCTTACTTGATGGTTTTCTTGATTATACTGCAAACAAAAACTATTCTGTTTTCTTTATTAAAGGGACTGTAAAGGAAAAATGAAAGGGGGGCTAATCACTTTAGCTCTGGATCGCGACCCATGAAAGTTATATTTGATGTTCCTATCTCGAGAAATTGATTCAAATTTATATCAAAAATTAATATATTTACAATTTTGTATAAAAGTAGTGGGTTTAAAAAGATCAAATTCAGCAAATATGCAACCAATCTGAAAACGATGATATCCCAGAGAAAGCTTATTGTTTACTCCAATTCTAATTTTATATTTGTTATTTCTATTTTTTTTATAGATTTAATTCATAATATTATTTATACGTCCGTATAGCTTGACCAGAAATTCCACCAATGGCAGTGCAGTAAAGTGGTCACGTGATACAGGCGGAGACACGTGACCAGTATACTGCTCTGCCATTGGTGATAGTTCTGGTCACGTGATTTAAGTTTAAAATTTTCTAAATTTTACACATATGAACTTTCGTATAATTCTAACACAGTTTTATATCAATTTGTCGAGACAGGAACATCAGATAAAACTTTCATGGGTCGCGATCAAGAGCTAAAGTGATTAGCTTTTAGCCTATACCCCCTTTCATTTTTCCTTTACAGTCCCTTTAAAGGGGGATACTCTTTAGGTTACGCAGTTAAATTAAAACTGCAGTATTATAGATTAAAGTTTCAGGATTCCATTGATACCAAGAACCCGTTTTTTTGTTGTGTAATTACTGAGTAAGATGTAATCTCATTCGTCATATTTCAAGATTTTTTTAGAACAAAGATTGACCTAAGACCTTTACATCTCCATATGTATAATGAGCTTTAGGCATAGAGAATAGAATATATAGAGAGGAATTAAACGAATCTCTCGGTATGAATTTTTTCAGTCCCTTTAAGCCTGAAAGGGAGTTAAAAGTGTACAAATCATGTAAATGTTTACAAATTATATGCAGTAGAGTACATTAATACAGTATGTTCCCTAGACTATCCATTATAATTTCGAATTTTTTAAACTGTTAAATAAACTTTATTATGAATTAGGTGAATAAAACATCATTTGATTTATAGTTATACCGGAAAATCTTCGTTTGTAAAATAATTTTAGATTTTCTATAAAATGATATTCCTGGGCCCAACAGGTTATATAGCATAAATATGTGAAGTACACCTGCAGTATGGAAACAGTACAACAAAATGGCCGTTTTACACTTTTTTCCAGTAAATTCCTCTCTATATATTCTATTCTCTATGGCTTTAGGTCTTCAGTAGAGTTTCATCTTTTGTGTGGAACCCTGAATGTATATATTTAGTTTAAATTAATGATTAAAACTAATATCAAATGAGTCAAAAAATCTGAATTTGAATGAAAAATTATGATGTTAAGATTTTTCTTCGGAGAAAAAAGTAAAAAAAGGTTTAAAAAAAAATTATATTTTAAAGTTATTGCTACAGTGTTTCCTGGCTTTAAAGAAAGCATTCAAAACCATATGCTTCCGTTCACACACATCACAGCTGGATATTCAAATACATTAATAAAACTTAATTTAGAGGAAGTCTTTTTTAAAAACAAAACTAAACTTTGAAGTTTAGTTTAAGGTTTCGAATTAGAAAAATTATTTAACAAATACATTATCATAATAACTGCAATTGACCATGCATTGAAGAACATTTAAATAGTCCCCCCCCCCCTTTCTTTAAATAGTTTTCCTTTCAAACCAACACCCCCCTTTATGCCTCCC